TGCATCAACTAAACAATATTCATCTTTCTGTTTCTTTGCAACCAGAAAATAGGGATTGGTATATGAATCATGACAAGACTCCAACATTTTAGCTTCTAACCTGTTCTGAATGATTTTAATTAGCTTATCATGTAGAGCATGAGAAATTCAGTAAGTCTTAGTCTGCCAAGCCTCATGGGGCTCTGTCCAAATAACCTGGGAAGGCAAGCATTCAGGATAAACATCACATAGATCTTTAAATGACCAAGCCAACATCTCTTCATGTTTATAAAGAACTGATATGAAAAATTTCTTCTCCTGACTTGTCAGTTTAAATCCAATTTTGAGCTTCTTAATTCTCTCATTTGTTAGTCATTCTTCAACAGAAAAGAGCATGATTCTAGGCCTAATATAGTTATCAAATTCACAATTAAACACAACACATTTCTCCTCAGAGTAATACTTATTCAAACAAACATCCACTCAATTATCTAGGCCTTCCAGCTTGCTTCCATCAGATTTTCCAGGTACTAATGGCTTTATCTTATCAGCTTTCCACTTATAAGCAGTGCACACTCTCCAGATCTCTAAAGAAGATGGCCTGATGTCCCATCCACAATTAAAAATATCTATCTGACACAATTTCTTTATGACAAAATTGTGATTTTTGTTCAGAGATGTGTAAATTGATCAAGCACTTTATAGAATAGATTTGCAAATTAAACTGGAATTTATATCACATGTGTAATGTTTGCAGTGAGCTGTGACACTGTCTGAATCAGAAAGTGAAGATTGGAAAATCCAAACTTCTGATGCAAAATTATCCTTGTCTTCTGATTGATCCATTTGATTCACCAGTGTGCTGGTTAATCTGATTAGACCTAGCACACTTTTGGATTCACCAACACTGGAATTATGTTTCTCCTCATTGCTGTAAGCACCAACACCAGCAATGCTGCTAACACTTCCAACTTCCCTATTCTTTTCAATCTCCTGACCTTCAACCTTCTCATCATTAATTCTTATATTCATTATCTTAATCATATCTTCTTCATTCTTCTCAGGCCTTGTATCCACAGACACCCGCCTGATTAAATGCCTGTTGAATTATTTAAATAATTACTATTCAATTTATCAGTTGCATATCTCATGTTGCTTGAGTTTAGCTTAAAGTCTTCAAAAACTAGACAACACATTTGTTCTTTGTTATAAATTTCACAGTTCACTCTGCTGTCTTCTGAGATGTTGCACCCCTAACAGGCAGCAAATTGCCAAGGTCTTTCAAGAATAAGTTGCTGATCCCCTCTCTCAAATATAAGAAAAGAGGTATGTGTAATAATATCTTCAATTTGAACAGACACTTCATCACAAAACACATAAAAAGAAGTGACTTCTCCCATTTGAACAACCATGATCACTTGTGGCTTATTTTTCATTGGTAATTTCAATATTTCAGCATACTTCCAAGACAACAAATTGATTTCTGAACCAGTATCAATCAACACTATTAATTCTTGTTAATTTATAGTGACTGGCACATATAATGAATGCATTCCATATGCTGTTTTGAATTTTGGCACCATAAGCTTTAAAGTAAGTCAACCAGAATTGATCTTTAGCTCAGACTGAACTGGTTCAGAGACTCCAACCCTTGCATGGCTTTTGCTAGTACTGTTATTCCAGCCTGATCTGAAGAACACTTGATAAAGCTTTGGTGATACATCTATAAGCTTCTTGACTGACAATTTGACTTTTCCATTGAGAATTCAACCCATTAATTCATTGGCATCTGTTGAATCACAAATCTGAGAGGATAAGCAATCTGTTGCAGAATATTTTGGTCTTTGTTTCTTTGTGGACTTGTTCTGAATTTCAGGCTTCTTCTGATTGATTGGTTCAATGTCTTCCATGACATTATCATTAACACTAGCCTGATTATCCCAGTAAGTAATAAATTGTCCAGTATGCTGAGTATGGGGTGTTGTAATCTTAGCTCTTTGATTATTCTTAGCTTCTTCAACTGTTCCAACATTAACTGATGTCCTTTCTTCCAATGGTTCATATTTCTTATCTGAATCAGATTCTCTATCAGACATTAGGTATGCAAGCTGTCCTGCTTGAACCTTCATACTGGTTGAATTTGTGGGAGGTGTCTCTTCTTGCTGATTAGTCTTCTTTTTAGAGCTTGTCAACTCCAGAATCACCTATTCATCCTCTCTCATAGACTGCATAATATACATGTTTGGGATTCCAGGTTTAGAAGTGACAGCTCAATAGTTTTGACTCTTAGAGCCCATGTGTAAGTTCTCTTTGTCATCAATATGGCAGTATCCATTACTCATATTGGATTGGTATTCATAACACTGAGATTGATGATGTCCAGGTTTTCCACAGTAGAAGCATGAGAGATGTGTTGAAATTCCTCCAGTTTGAGCTTCTCCTCATCCACAAGCACTACTATAGCCTGTTATAGGAGAGCCATTTCAAGCCAAATAGGGGTTGACTGGCAGTTGAGTATTCTCTTGTACAGTTGTAGGATTAACAGTCACATTTGTTGAATAATTTAGTATAGGTTTCAGAGATTCTTCTCTCTGTAGCATATAATACTGATTGGAATTCCCTTGTATCTGATTTGATTGTACTCTCATGGCCAATGCCAAATTTGTGAACTTGTTGATCATCTTTTCAATAGCAGCTTCAATATTGATACTGTCAGAGCTCTTTACTTTAGCTTTTGATTTGAATTCTTCAGTCTTTGCAAAACTAGCTGTTTTCTTTGGAGCTTCAACTGTAGGGGGCTTGTTAACCAATTGATATTGCTCACCAAGCTTCTCTATTTTCTTTTGTTTCATTTCATCTTCTTCAAAGACCTTCTTATTCCCTTTATACTGGTCAATCAAATCCATAGTCACCCAAACAACTTTCCTAAAATCAATAGACAATATATTGTCTGAAAGATTGAGCTTGGTCTTGTCAATAATCTTATTCTGGAGCTTCTCAGGTAGCCCCTGAAGAAATCAAGACATCTTAGTGAATTCATCAAGCCTTTCATTTGCTTGAACTGTACTGGTAATAGTAGTGTATTCTTGAACATAGGTGTGAATGTTGCCATCTCAAGCATGTGGTTTCTTTGTAATTGCCTGAAGGTAATCCCAACAGTGAATCTTGTAAGTGATGTCTTGATTATGAAATTCATGAATAATCTCTTTAGAGAATACTTCTCAATTATCTTTTTTGTAGTCTTTCAAGGTCTTCATCCATTCTCCAATCCATGTAATACAGTATCTAGCCAACTGTTCAATAATGTTTTTAGAGTTAATTACTCTATAATTCTTGCACATCTGATAAAATCTTTCAATAAACAGGGTAGCATCTCTGCTGTCAAATCAAGGTGCATTTGCTGTGCCAGGGGAAGGTATAGAAATGTGGGAATGAACCACAATTCTCTTGTCCTCACCCAGTGACATAGTTACATATGATTCTGTAGTATCTTCAGCCATAGTTGATTCTGATTCCAATTTCTTGGTTTCTTGATCTTTGGTCATGTCACACAGTATGTTCTGTCTATTAGTCAATATCTTCCAAAAATCTGTTTATTGGGCAAGCTCTAGATAAGAGGCATTCAAATCTAAGCTCCCTAATCTTATTTCTAAATAAAAAAAACTGATTAGTACTGTGTTTCTAGTCCATAAGATCTTATCTTGAAATAGTGTATTGCTTCATGTGTCTCAGAATTTGTTTTTCTCTTTCTTGACAGTCACCAAATCACCACATCATCATCTTCAGGTCTCAGCTTGGTCACTAAATGAAGTGGGGTATGATGGGATGCCTTGTCAAAGTAGGTGAGTTGGTTGATATGGTGAGAGCACAAGAAAGATGAAAAATCATCATATAGTAAGAGTATGATTGAGTAGTAAGTGTAGAGATAGATATATTCTAACAGACACCTAAGCTTGCAAGGAGTAATAGTACTAAAGAGCTCTGTACTAACACAGGCAGCTCTAATAAGAAACAGTAGCACATTTCATGAACAAGAAATCTTCATATTCTCTAACTAATAGCCAAACTGGTAGTAAGGAATGAGTGTATAGAAAAGAGCAATAGTGCATGAAGGTAATAAGCAAGATGCAGGGGCTACAGATGGTTTATATAGCTCAAGAATAGTAGCTTTGGGGTGGTTTGTGCCTTGGACTGGAACAACCTTTGTCCTAATGAGGTACTGGAATCCCCACTACAATATAACAGAAGTCTAGAAGGAATTCTTTTTTATTAAAATTATATATGTTTTCCAGTGTAATATTATACTGGCTGATTTTCTCACTTAACTAAATACAGCAGTGCAAGTACTTAACAAGTTAGTCAAATTTAACAACTGTACTTGCAAAGAAGCAAAAAAAAGCATTAAATTATAAGATTATAGAAGTGCTGAAAGCAGTGATAATTATCTGCTATCTGTCTATTCTTGTCAAGCAGCTTGAGATAAACAGTCTTGATCTTGTTCTTATAATACTTATAAAACTATATTATTTAGTTAATTTTTATGTTTTCTTCTGTCATCTCTTGCACAATATTTCAAAGAATTTGAGATGTAGAAGCAAGACTGTGGTTACAGAGCTTGTTTATATACTCTAGAAGCTTATTCTTCTGTATATTAGTGAGCTTTTTCTTATGTCTGGAGATTGCTTTATGATAATCAACTTGTAGATTTTGATACTGCTGGTGCAGGGTCTCTCAGCTGAGTGAATATTTTTTTGTGATTGTATTGTAATTTGGAGTCTCTTGCAATTCAAGATCTTTAATTGCAAGCTTAATTACTTTGTTGTTGACCATGCTATTGCATAATGAAGTTGAGTGTTGAAGAAATTTGATAGTGCGAAAATTTGGCTTGTTGAGTGGTTTGGCTTGTTGAGTGGTGAGCCACCTTAAAGTTAGCTTGGCGTGTCGGAGAATCCAAAGCTCCGGGAATTCGGGGCCAGGAAAGACAATTGCATCACAAAAAAAGAGTAACAGCGTGAAAGACAAGGAAACGTGCCTCAAAACCAAACCCAGAGGAGAACTCCCGTGCAGGAAACCCATCCCCGGAATTACATTTGTATCCTCGCACCCGGCACACTACAATATCCTTTCCACCCTCTGCGCCTCGGCACCACGCTGCGTCACTTGCGTGCCCTTCCCCCTCCGCTCCGCCCGCCGAAGATCCCAGCGCTACAATTCCAGACATAATGCCAGCGGCTCCCATACCACCCAAGACGCCAGCATCCAAACTGGCGTCCTCCATATCCAAATCGCGACAGGTCCTGCCCGACCCAACTAATAGCTTCAAGCCCAGCGCAAGGCAGTCCTCTCCCACAGTACGAAATTTCGATCAAATCACAAGGATCGGAGCCCAGCGGAGCATGCCAGCCCAGTCAAGGCAACAAGCGGCGGCGCAGGATATCCGTAATTCAAAGTCATATAAAAGTTTTGCGAGAAGGTGTGTGATAGTTTGACATATAGAGGCATTTGTCTCCCGATTTTTCTTACTCCCAACAGACGGGCGGCTAATCTAAGGCGTTCTTTCACGGACTAGGTGGACAGCAACGATCGTCGCATTACCTATTCTGTTATATACAAGCTACGCGTTGTACGAAAGAGGTGAGAATGCTGTATTCCATCCTCTCGCAGCTCAGTGGGCAAACGCTAACCCAGCGCCTTCTGTGCAGTATTCTATGATAAAGAACCTCGAAGTCTACCGGGAGCGAACGCCTTTCCACCGCCGGAATCGTCAAATCAACCTTCTGACTTCATGCCCCAATCTGCGACGAGCAACGACAGCTCTACGCACTAATTCTTGGTCTTTGTATTATATATTTCTTCCTCTCTATTAAAAAGTGCTTGCTCCATTGTTATTTTTATGAGGATTCGAGTATAGAAATACCCCCCTTGGCTTCTATGTTAGCGACTTCATATCCTCGCTCTTATTAAGGCGCTATTGCCCGCATGTGTATATAGGGATTGGGCTTGGTCTATAAGGCGACTTTGGTGTTCGGTGGCTGATGTGTATGTGTGACGCTCCTCTCCTATGTTGCATTTTTCAACTCCTCGAATTCGATTTACCTTTTCATCCATGTCACCAACAGCTTTGATATGCTCTTGGCAGTTAAGATGTTATCAGAAACATACCGGAAGCACTTGACAAACAGTGGAAAAGCTGGGAGGTCATATGCTGATCAAAGCATTTCTATCGTAGTATTTCCATTATCAGATGAGATATGTATAACCATATTAATTGAAAGAAAACCGTATCATCCCTTGTCGCAATACCTCATTCGCCCCGCTTAGTCCTTGTTCATGTCATCTATCATAATTACATCATCAAGTCGTTCCCAAAATTCACCCATTCCTATCAAAAGGTTCCGAAGTAAGAAGAAAACACCAAAAAAGAAACATTTCACTCCCCCTTAACTATTACCCGATTTCTTAATAAAGCATCTGTCCCACATTCCCCCGCTCGCTGCATAGCTCAGCCCCTTAACAAAATCATTAACCTCGCACCGGCCTAATGAGTCCACGTTACACCCATGGAGCGGATAAACACGATCATTTAGCAAGATTCTCACAAACTCGTCATCCTTCCTTGGCGACCAGTCACACTTCATCTTCTCAACGTAAGCCCTACCGGCAAACGGGACCGTCCACGACGCAGAAAATCCGTCCGACTCTACGGGGGTCCGGATGCGGTCAAGGGGGAGTGGTTCCGTGCTATTGAACAGCCCCAAGGCCGTGAAGATCGTTATCATAGTGTTATCATGGCTGAAGTCTGCGTAGAGAGTGGCGTTTAGCGGGAAGGTGGTCGGGTGAGAGGTAAGAGTGCGGTTGGTGGAAGTCGAGTCATTGACGGGGGTGTTTGTGAGACGGGCTATGAGTTCGTTGGTGAATCCCATGCCTTGCTCAGCACCGAGCGGGCTGCCTGGCCCATATCTGTAATATTTCCCAAGAGACTGGTAGTAGTCATAGTCAACCCATTCGCCTGGGGTGAAGAGTTGGCAGAATGGAGATAGTTTGCTCGCGTCGGGCGTCAACATCACGGTGTGGAAGGAGCACATATCCATGAGGTAGATCACATCTGTGACCGTAATATTGGCGCCAGGGAGATGAGTTTTCACACGCTCAAGAATTGGAGGGGCAAATAGGTCCACGAATTTTTTCTGCTTCTCTTTTCCTGAATTATCCTGTTCGAAGTTTTCGCATAAAGAGTGGTCAAGTGTATTGTTACTCGACTCTCCTTCAGGGATAATCAAGTTGACGATAGGGGGTCTATCCTTCTCGACACCATCAGGATCAAGGCCCAAGGACTTCTGGAATCCTTGAATAAATCTCTCTGCTGACTTGATCACCCTCGGAGACCCGGCAGCTCGAACGAACGGTCGTATCTCCTTCGCCAAACCCCTATAGCGATCGTAGAATTTTGCCCCAGAATTGAAGAGTTGGGTGTTCCCGAATTCTGTCATATCATCGCTCTTCAGCGTATACTCAAAGTTTTTCAGGAACTTGAAGTCGTCCTCATAAGACTTGCTGGTTTCCTTGATCCGATCAAAGAGTTTTGCGTAGAGCTCGGTTTTCTTCTTCGTGGGATACCTTGCTCCATGCCGGGACAGGACTTGGGCAAAAGTAATAGTGCATCCAGACGGTACATCCGGAGAGATGGGAGACTTTGACTTCAGAGAAGAATAGGGGGAATATTGGCCCCAGAGCTGAGCAAACGGCTGGTTGCACTGGTATCCGAGCTTGACACTAGTGCATTCAAGATCTCGTCTCCGAAACACTCGTCCATGGAGGCTGCCGTTGAATCAGTCAGCACCAGTAGCCTCACTTGACAAACTTACCTCCCCCTGATTTACAAGTGGGTAGCTGTGGTTGGAATGGGAACGAAATGAACCTCAGGGAGAAGAAAGGAAAGCAGAATACATACAACGGCGCAAAAATCCCGCCAAAAAGAACCAGAAGCATTAGAGTTGTGACGACGGTGACCAGGTTCAGTTTGAGAAGGGCGGCCAAAGTACTCTTCTTGCCAAGCTTCGAAGTAATGCCGCGTCCCCCGTGCACTGAATTGTTAGATGCAGGCAAGACGTCGGCGGGATGAGAACCCAGGCCAATTGACTCTTCATCATCCCGATGCGACAGCAAGGCCGTACGATCACCAGCTTGTTCCATCGTGAGAAAGAGTTCTTGACTTTTGAGCGCGGATCAACTTCAATTAGGAGGTGAAATCCGGGAGACTTCCACGATGGAATTTCTTCCAAAAAAACACCGTACAGTAAAAAGTGAAAAAAATGCTCAAAACAGCGGGGGTATCATCAAAAGCAACCAAAAAACAAAAGAAAGGAAATGAAAATGTGAAAGGGAACGGGATGTGCGGATAACTATACTGTCACCTGCCAGCCATTAACCAAAAAACCATCAATATCAAGAAACCCAGGAAAAAGGTCAGACACAAAAAAAATAAGAGTTACACAAATATTAAAATAAACGGCTCCCCTCCGGGGCCCTACAACCCTTTTCCCAAGCCCAAAGGAACGACGAGGGCTCGCCGGTCACCCGCACCACGCGAGTGACAAGGGAGCGTGAAGCCAGGCACAAGAGAGGGCGCGCGAGAGAGATAATAGCGCGGTGCTGGCTCGGGCAGTACTGATGATGCTGGTGGCTGTTCAATTGACGCAGCCACGTTCGCCCCTGATTGGCTAATTGGCGCCCCCGGGGCACGTGGCCCTGTCGGCAGCTGGTACGATTAGATAAGCACAACTGAGGATCTCCCGAGAGCCGCACCAGCAGCCATTGACAGCGACGGACGACGGGCACGTTGTCCCGGGGAAGAGGGGTGTGTGCGGGCGACACAGGCACGGCTGCGCGGCGACTCAAGGGCGGGAAGCAAGCCGTGAGACCAGAGCTTCTGTTCGGCCTGATTGCTGTGAGCCAGTGGTGAATTTCACCGTTGCTTCGTGGTCTGTGTCATAGATCAGGAGGGGAGAAATAACATACGTCCAGAAGCTCAGTAGTGGATGTGGGCTAAATATAAAAATAAAATAAATAACAGGGGGGGATATATTTAAATGAAGGAAACAGAATCGGCAATTGACGAAAAGAGAGAAATGCTGGGGATATAAATAAATTTATTGCCAGGTGGCAGGCGGATTTTGAGAGCAACCCTCAAACAAAAGGCGTGACAGCCAACAGAAAATGCTTGGCCTTCGTTGACAAGGCTTGTACTCCCAGGCCACAATTCACAAGTCGCTGTCGGCTAGCTTCATGGTGTCAGGGTGAGCACCCAGCCTTCCACAGCATCGTTCGCAGTGGGTTGGGCTTCACTGTCTACATACTTTCTCCTCGAAAGTCGCTGTTGGGCTGAATTGACTTTCTCCCCCCGGATTTGGGACCTCAAACGCTCCTGATACAGAAACAACAGGAACAACTAGTCAGCGAGAAAGTTCCGGCTTTTCTTTTCTTTTTCTTTTTCTTGTTCTTGTTCTTTTTTTCTTTTCTTTTCATTTTCTTTTCTTTTCCTTTCCTTTTCTTTTTTTCCCCCCTACCTGGCATAGAACTTAATTCCTCCATTTTCTTGTCCCATGTTCAGGCAGGAGAATTGATTGAAAATCTCCATCTTCTGTTTCCACCAGATCCATGCTGCTATTTACAAACCATATCAAGCTCTACGCTTCAGATACCATCTATCAGACACAAAAATAGTGGTCAAAATTTAGGCTCTATAGATCTCCATCTGTCGCCGATGTTTCTTCCAGATACCCTAGTTGCGATCTTGTGTTTCTCAAAATTCCCTTTTCACTGCAATTCTATCGAATGTCTCGTCGGCGGATCGGCCCGCCCAGACAAGTCCAAGCATCGTGTTGAATGTGCAAGCGTTCGGCAAGGAGTGCTCTTTGCGAGCCTCTACCCCATTTCAATTCTTCCTTGAGCATTCGTTAACGTGTTTCTCTTTCATCGAGTGGCTGGGAGAGGAGTTCATAAAACATGAAACGATATGGATTTTACCTGACAGTATCGATGTCAGACTCTTCACTTATTATGCATCGGTCCAGTCACTTTCGCTTCCGCTTCCGCTTCGGGGAAGTTGTCAGTCGACCTGAGGTACCACTCAGAACAGGAACCTGGAGAGAAAACAGCAGACTCACCATGGGAAGAATTGCAAACCAGGATAGACTTTAATGGCCTCTTTTTCGCCTTCAGCAAGGCTGTTTTGTCAGTTCTAATTCTGACTTGCATACTCGCTTGGGACATTTGGCAGCATCACACAGTGCTCTGGTCCCCACCCTTACAACTGACAGCCAATTTTCCCTTTTCTTTTTTTTTTTTTTTTTTTTTAATAAAAACACTACTTTGCTTAAAACCTTCTTTGATATCCTGTCAAAGGCTTAATTCAGGACGCAGTCCTCCAATGATGCATCCTGGCTGGTAAAGCTTTGTTGTCATTAGAGGTGAGCAGCTCTCTCAGCAAGCATACGTACGTTTCAATCTTATCAGCATCTAGCGAAGCTGAGTTTTATCACAGGCACCCGGCACGCTATCACCCATGAATTCATCTACAATCAAAATGATATTTCGTACATCCACTTCTTCTTTGCGATTACGTGGTCTGCGGACAGAACACTCGAAGTCTAGGCTTGGGCTACAAATAAGGACGTGCTGGGCCACCAGGAACTCGAGACCACTCCGATTGTGTCTTCAGAAAACGGCGTAGCCGCCTTGGCAAGGTGCAGAGCAAGAGGCAAAGCAAAACAGTGGATAACTGGCAGCAATGATGTATGGTGTGTGTTGCGGCGTTTACTCCTGTGGTATTGTCGGGTAGAAAAAGACGAGACCCGTCTGCCATGAGGTAGATACCTCTTCTATTCTAACTGTCTATCGTTACTCCTCACTCCCTCACAACTGTATTTGCCTCGGACTGTGTATTCCCGACTTCCCTCCCGGACACTAAGCCAACGATGTTTAGAGCATGCTAAATCATTAAGCATGTTACTACCTCTCTCGGAAAACAAATCGCCGTTGCATACGTCACGAAGACCGATACTTGGGAACGCGCATTTCTTTCGCAGACCGTCCAAAACCAGTTTCTTGTAGTAGCAGAAAAGTACAATGATACTCTGAAGCCCGAAACAGTCAAAGTGGCCATGAAGTGAGTTCTCTGTCCGACGGTTATAGCCACTTCTCTTACACTTGACTAGGGAGCCGGAACATCCGAGCCAGAAGTACTTGGCATCATCACAAGTAATATCTCATTTGCATAAAGCCTTCCACACACAGCGAGCATAGGGAGCCACGAAGTAGGCTGGGTTACATGGGTAGGTTCTTAGGGGGTGGGTTGCGAAGTAGAAAGGGCCATGATAGCGGCGTAGGAATTTGGAGCGGGAATATGGTGAGGAGACGACTAGGGAAGCTTTATAGTTAAGTAGTTAACTAGTTACATCAAGGGATTTCAGGCCGCTTTACTCCGTACCTAAGATGTCTAACACGATGGAGGAAGCCAACTTCGTGAAACGTACACTGAATCAAACCTGAGAAACAATTCGCGGCGTCAACAGTAGTTTCTGCTAACGAAAAAAAAAAGACTGGCCTTTCACAATTTCGAGTCACTCGGCGTGATCAATCAGGAGGAACGCGAATATGTCACCTCCACCCACTGAATTGATAGGTGCTGCTGGACGCCGCTATCTCTTCAAGCAACTGATTCAGGGAAGACCCCATCTCGGCCGCGTCTGGTTGGCAACGTGCGGCCATGCCCGCTCCCTCGTGTAGCAGGTCAACTGACAGTGTTCCAGATCCGGACAAGACAAATTTATCTTAAAAGATATCCCAAAGCCCATTTTCTCGAGCTTCAATGAGGACATACGCCCGCGACTTCGTGAAAGCCAGTTTTTAGGTAACACCATTTCAGATCCGCGGATATTCGTGTACAAGTACATGAATGATGACGTTCTGACCCTTGTCAGAAATCAAATACCCATTCAAGCCCGGAAGCAGATTCTTAAAGCCACATTACGTGGGATTGCTGAGCTGCACAGCCATGACATTGTCCGCTTAGGTGATGCGAAGTGAGCACTCTTCAGTCGCATAACCTAGACCTAATCCCCTCTAGATATCAAACCTGACAATATCATGGTTAACTATCGTGGTACTGGTCCAGAGACTATTGTTGAGCAGGTTCAGCTCATTGATCTCGAAAACGCAACCTATCTCCCTAAAGGGAGGTGCATTAAAGGGATGTTACCTGGCAATGATAGCTGGCGCAGTCCAGAGGGTCACTTTAAGGGAGAGCTTAACAAGCCTACTGACATCTTTTTCCTTCGCAGCTGTTGAAAGTGGGCTCTAGCTAACTTGCTCAGTGCATCTACGCTATGCTTGGCCAAGTTATCTTCGGAGCTGATGACGATTTGCGGAAACATGAATCACAAGGTGCATTCCCTCATATCATTCGCCTGCAACGTCAAGTCTCCTTTCTTGGAGACCGAGAAGGATTGAACGGGCTCATGAAGCACGTTGGAGATGAGGAAGTCAACTGCCAATTCCTAGGATGTCTTTGGGATGATCGAGTGGCAGAGTACCATCCCTACAAACCTTTTTCAGACTGGCCGAACGTCGATGATGACAACTTCAAGGACCTTATCCGGAGAATGACGAACTTGGATCCTCGGAAGCGTGCAACAGCGCGTGAAGTGTTGGCGCATTCCTGGTTTGCTGATTGCGACATTGATTAAGCCCCTTGAATATGATAGTCCCCGGAATATTGCTAGCATCGGACGGCCTGCTCCCTGTCTTCTATATCGCCCATTCTCCCTCACCAACCCTTCCCCATCCCTTAACTAAACGCAGCATCCCTACTCCCTAGACAAAGTCTCTTTTTATTCGACAATAAGACTTGGAACGTTTCTACCTTTGGATAGACGCTGCTTTCCTAGCTGTCCCTTTTCAGTTATGCAGTTTGAGGTGGCTGGAGCGAGCAAAAAGGGAATATATTTGAAAAAGAATATGGCGAATTGTCAGCGCAATAAATAATAATTTCGTTTCAGAGATATTGTAACATTTTCTGCTGGCAATGTAAAGCTCCAGAGTTCGAGTCCATAACTGCGGGCACTAACACAAGACTCTCACCCGGGCGTATAGTAATACAAAGCGCAAGGAAGTGTGCGAGATAGACCACCGAGCACGCTTCTACCAGTCGTTCGCCAAACTGCACCATCAGTGGCTGTGATAAGAAACCAAATCTAAGCAGGGGAGGCCACTACTCCGTACATTCTGAATGCTTGGAATTCTGGGATAGGCGGAACTCTGATGATGGGGTATTCTATCCTATAGACTGTTCGTTACAGCGAGGGTTTACTGTATTAAGAGATAATAACTTAAATCAGAACAGTGGCTCCACCATTTGCCTGAACTTTCCCGATTCCGGTAAGGACCTGAGGTCGCCCTGGCGATCGCCATCAACAACAGTGAGCTCATCTCACTAGAAGTTGATCTGCACACACACCTTGTACTGTGTATGTGTAGTACGGAGTACGTATGTCCGAGATTGCATTAGTGCTCTGCATACAAGAAGGCCGGATTGACGACTACTTGCTCTGGCTGAATATGGTCACCGTCCACCCAGTTCACCATCTCTCTACGGAGTAAGATGGCCAAAAAAGACCTTGGCTCCGGCTTTCAGGTTGAGAAATGTCCTCGCGTCTTCTAAAAGTAAACACCAACTGCCCTCTACTGTTTTACGTGCTAATATGCACCCAGTGCATCCGAGTACTATACATACACAATTAAAACCATATCCATGTTCCTAGCTACTCGACACCTGAGTTGAGAGCCATCAACGCCGGAAAAATCTAGTCGCCTACAGCTTCGAATCTCCAAGGTACCCATTCGCTTTGAGCCATGATTCGACGTCCTCCCTATCGCGTTGCAGCCAACCAGTCTTCGCACGGACGGAATCCAAGCTTTGCTCCAGAGATCGGTCGAAACCCTATTCATCATTGTCAGATACTAAAGTCCAACAAGGCCCTCCCTAGATAGCAAAGAGGAAACACTCACCTTCTGGTCCTTATCCTTGAAGAACTCTTGCACATCCTTTAATTGCTCCTCGGTGCACAAGCTAGCAGTGCAGAGCTGTACGACGGTGCTGAGCATGGTGAACGTAGGTGGCAGCCTCTTGACCACGGTCTCCCAGTTGGCCTTCAACCATTCCCATCGCGCAACGATGCTGGGGGCATGAATTCGAAGGCCAGAAAGTGGCATATAGATATCCTGCACCCTAACTTCATCCGAAAGAGCCAGCGCAAGGGTGCGCTGCACCAGTTCTGGTTGTTGAGCACTTCCCAAGGAACGAAGCGCTGTATTCTTCTCGGTGGACGTAGGGGCATTTCTGTATCGATCAAGGATGACATTGTATTCCTCCTCTCCACCATTGCGGAGAACAAGGTCAAAGACGCTTCCGCGAAGATTAGGGTGAATAGCCGAATAGTCCCCAGCAGAGAACCGACTGAACATATCCTTGGCAGCGTCAAGGACCTTTTGGTCGCCGGCAGCTCCAGCAGCGCCAAACATCAAAGCCTTGAATTGCTGCAAAACGTGGCCATCCTCCTCAGAGAACTCCCAGCCGAGCTGATGTGCCTTAGCGCTGACAAGGTTGCGCTGGAAGGTCTTCAGTGCGTCCTTAACCTGGGCATCCTCGAAAATCCATGCACTGCGAACGGAGCCCAGTCGAGTGAGGATCTCGTTCCACACCACGAATTCCGATTCGCTATCAAATCCTTTGAGTAGGGAAAGGCTGCCTGAAGTCTTCTGGTATCCAGATGATGCAAGCACTCCGGCATCAGCAATCATCCCAGCCCTATCCTCAACGCTGAGAAGCCCCGCCTTGGCGGCCTCGCCCAACTTTTCGAGTCTTTCCGGGGTATAACGGGTTCTGAAGATACTTGAGTGGTCTGCATTGAGTTTGAAGAAATCCAGCTCCGGAAGCTTGATTTCCCGTTCCCGTTCTGCCAACATAACGCTTTCGTCAACACCTTCCTTGCCTTTAAGTCGCAGAACAACCGGGTACACTATTGCATCTTCTTCCGGCCTGACGTCTCCAGTTCGAAGGAATCGGTTTTGCTTAATGGAGATAGCCTTCTGGTCAGGCTTTTCCTGCACAGTAACGACGGGATATCCGACCTGCTTTGTCCAAACCTCCATAACCGACTCGATCGGTTTGCCACTCACTTTACTCAGGGCTGCCCACAAGTCCGTCGTTGTTGTGTTGCCATAGGCATGCTTCTTGAGGTACAACCGGATGCCTTCCAGGAACTTCTCTTCGCCCATGTACATGGAAATCATGCGCAGAACGGCAGAGCCCTTAGAGTAAGAGATCGCGTCAAAGATTTGATTGATCTCATCCGCACGCTTGACAGGAACTTCGATGGGATGACTGCTTCTCAAAGAGTCAAGTGCAAGCGCCTGTTGAAGATCATTCACAACATAGCTCTGCCAAACCTTCCACTCAGGGAAGAACTTGTTGCAGGAGTACCACGACATCCAGGTAGCGAATCCCTCGTTGAGCCATAGGCCGTCCCAGAAGTCCATGGTCACCAAGTTACCGAACCATTGATGAGCAAGCTCGTGCTGGACAGTCTCAGCAATTCTCTCCTTTGTTGCTGCGCCGGTGGTCTTTTCATCGTAGAGTAAATCCACGATACGATAGGTTATCAAGCCCCAGTTCTCCATGGCACCAGCAGCGAAATCAGGGACGGCGACCATGTCCATTTTTGGAAGAGGAAACTCGCTGTCAAACGCTTTCTCGTAGAAATTCAGCGTTGTGGCGGCGAGATCTAGGGAGAATCGACCATGCTCGATGTCTTGATCGGGAGTCGCATACACGCGAATAGGGACTCTGAAGGCGTTGGTTTCGATATAGTTGAGCTCACCCACTATGAATGCAACAAGGTATGTCGACATGATCGGTGACTTGTTGAACTTCACGGCCTTTTTTGGACCACCACTCATCTTGGAATGAACTTCCTCTTCATGAGCCACGTTCATGTTGCTGATGCAAGTTAAGTTTTTGTCCGCGATGAGAGTGATGGTGAATTCAGCCTTTAATGCCGGCTCGTCAAAGCAGGGGAACGCTCGTCGGGCGTCGGTCGCTTCCATCTGAGTGGAAGCCATGTACTTTTTATTTCCACTGGCGTCCTTATAGGCACATCGGTAGAAACCAGCCATGTTGTCAGTCAATTTCCCGGTGAAAGTCTGCTTCAGCTTGGCTTTAGAGCCTGCGGCGAAGGTCTGGTTGAACTTCACGGTCGCTCTCTGTTTGTCCTGGTCCAGCGAAAGCGAAGAGGCAGACACTTCGCTTCCATCGTCCAAGATGATGGTTGACGAATGGATGTCAATGTCCACGGAGTTAAGGGTAACAGAGGTGCTGTCCTCGACGACATCAAGACTGTACAAGGGCAGTATATATCAGCATCCATGCAGCAGCAAGAGGAGGAATCTCCCTGGGAAATGCAACGTACTCGATGACCACTGTCCCGTCAAAGGTGAAGGTCTCGAAGTTGGGCTCCAGAGTCAGGTCGTAATGGCGGGGCTTCACGTTAGTCGGGAGAACCTCGCGGTTGGCGGCGATGGAGGCGGCGCCTCCTGCGGCATCGTCTCCCATTGCACGACACATTTTTCGATAGGAGCAGTATCTCTTGAACCGGCGAGATCCAAAGAGGGGAACACGCGGGGTATCTCTGAGGTGGGGTGAGCTAATCTGGAGGGAAGTAGATCTGGCGCCGACGGAGGTGGAAAGGTATCTGAGACTGGCTCTGGCGGATCGAGTAGCGGCGGATGTAGCTCGATAAGGAGTGAGGAGTCGAGGGGTATAGGATTGGGGTTGTTTGACGATATTCACGAGAGAGTGAACATGTCTATGATGGAGGGGTAGCATCGATGCAGCGAAGGAACGACAGACACCGCTATTTGGTTGCCCGCCAAAACGCCCACACGATCCACAGAGCTAATCCCGCGTAGAGACCGGCAAAAATACGAGCCTTGTCCCGGTTCTGGCGCGCAGGAATATCCCGATGCCCAAACGCAAACCTAAAGCTACAGAGTGTCGCGCCGAAGACGGCAGCTTGCACGCAATGTAGTGACCGGCTACGGCAGACGGAAGCGATGCTGGATAGCTGATGACTAGCTCACCAAGAGGACAACCTGCTCTGCTTGTGCAATTACATATGTTCCCTGTGCCCGGCCGTGGTTTTCTTTGTCGTGCTGCCTTTCTGCACTTCCGAAAGCGGCAACTCGCCAACTTTTCATCAAGCCGCCGAAGCTGCTTATGTCATCGCATGGTGGCCAATCGCATTCTGCTGCCAAGAGATCAGAGCCTATCCAATCAACGCCCGTTCATTGATGACTACTCTTGACAAGTTGAACAGGAAATTGATGGAGGAAGTCAAATGGATATGCTACCTAACAAGGGATTTTGTGTTGGGTAATTCTGGAACTATTTGTCGAGCATCTCGTGGCGCATGCATGAATTCCAGGCTGGTAGGAATACTCGGTAAATTCATCGCCACATCGACATCTTGAACACCGGATGCAGGCAACTGCGCCGTGGGTGGATGAGCTCTGGCTCAATGGCGATATAAATATTCAAACCAACAGGCAGTTTTCCGGAGCCGCACGGTCCTCTACCCTCAGTTTGGCGTAGACTCTGCAGGCCTGCCATATCAAATTTCAAAGTCAATTGGCTACTACCATGATCGTGTTGGTTGCGATTCCGATAAAGGCAGGGATAAACGGCTCGGGTGTAGGTGTACCCAAATTTTCTAGCCATCTACCGCCGAATCAACAACTCCTGCCTAACAATCATATGGCTCTATCGCTGTCTGTTGATGGATGGCCTCCTCCAGTGAGGCGGAAACACCGAGCTGACGGGAAACGGACCATGCGGCTGCAAAAGATACCTTGTTGGGCTCAGGATCTCTATCATCGTAAAATCATATCGTTAGGCAAGCACGCCTCTACCAGCAGTTCGCCGAACAGTGGCATCAGTGGCTGTGACAATAACCAAATTTAAAGAGGGAAGGTCCAGGTAGGGGCTAGGTTTCTATGGCCATAACATTCCGAATGCTTTCTGGCCGTTCGTGAAGGTCCCAGAACAGGTGGCGGATTCGACGAAGAAGATGATTATTGAAGCAAATCAAGGCAAGGATATTAAGGAGAAACAATATTTTGTGATCGCTCTAGTTGGATTGTTCCTCCTTGCATGAGCCCTCAATGTTGTCAATACCGGAAAGCTCCAGTTCCGTGATGGCTTCAAACAAAGTGATGCGTGCATGCACATTTTCTACCATTAGGCAACCAGCAATCCGCTCCAGTGTCTTCGCAGTAGGGCTGTCTTCTACATGTAGAATAGTTCTGACAGAAACTTTCCGTAAGCCCAAGTGTCATTCGATTTACGCACCTCATACGGGAATTCGCTAAGTGATATTCCGTCTCGGATCTCCGGGGCACGCCACCCCTGTGTGATTCCACCAATGCCACTGATGTCGATAAGCACTGCATTTCCATCCGCATCCAGAACAACGTTCGAAGGCTTGATATCCATGGGAGTTTTTCCGGCCATGTGGAAACGGCCTAATGCAGTAGCAATTTGTTTTGGCCACCGTTTCCAGGAATATCCAAGCGGGCGATGTATGTTCAAGGCTCTCTGGATAGAGCCACCACTGTAGAATTCCAGCACAATACCAGTGACTATCAGAGGTTGATCCCTTGTGTTCGATGTCATATAAGGGTTTGCAGATACTGCGATACCGGCTGCTCGTACACGGCGTGCCTCGGAATATTTCATGGTTTTTGAGCTCTTCGCGTATGACCTCCGTGTCATAGGGCTTATAGAGGGGCCGGTTCACAATCTTGAGAATATATGGCGTTTTGCTGTTGACGTTGAGGACTTGGAAGACTCCGTCCGTGATTTCAAACGAGTTTTCTGGCACTGTAGTCTATGAGCCTGACAAAGTTTCGGAATTCTTTGCGAACGTTTCTTTTTCAAGGTCCTATGTTTTACTGTCGGTTCATTCTGTAAGTTGTGAACCTCTTTTATCCACCACTTTGAGTCTCTCGAATGGTAAACCAAAGTCTGCGAGCGAATGTTAGCCTCAAGTTTTCCATCTATAAGATAGTCCTCATTTTCGCTATATGACTTGAAAATCGAAGTCAGCAATCTCAGTTTACAATGACAGGACTGACAAGTTATGAAGTACAGCCCTGAGCACAGTGGCATGATGCAAAAGAGGGTGCTCTGTGCGGAGTACGGAGTGTTCAGCTGTGTTAGGTAATCCAACTAGCACCTCGCTCACGTGACCAACATAGATTAGCCAAGATTCCCCTTTAGGTAGCTTAGTGAATGACAAGCATATGAGTCCTCCATCAGGTTATAGCCCTTTGTGCTGAAGAGCAAGTGTATAAGATTGGTTTACAGCTTAATTAATTAATAAAGCTTATAATTAACACTCTGAACAGTTATTCTTGTGAATAAAGAGTTTTTATGAGTACAAGAAAAAGTGTATGTTGAGATAGACATCTTCTATACATGCAATTTCTGTAGCCTTCTAGCACCAAGCTAAAGAGTGAGTCAAAACCTGTAAGGTAGTTCACCACTAAGCAAGCCACACCACTAAACAAGCCAAATCTTCCACCACCAAAATTCCTCCAATGTTCAACATTCAATATGTGACAACATGGTCAACAATGCCTCAATTAGGCTTGCAATTGAAGATCTTGAATTGCAAGAGACCCCAAATTACACTGCAACCACAAGAAAGTACTCAGTTAACTGAGAGACCCTGTACTGATAGCATAAAGGCTTGCAACTTGCTCAGAATGAAGCAGTCTTCTGATATAAGAAAAAGCTCTCTGATATACAGGAGGCAGAGCTTCTGAATTATATAAACAAGCTCTCTAGCTGTGGCCTTGCCATTACACCTCAGATCCTATGAAATATTGTACAAGAGATGACAGAAGAGAATATTGGGATCAACTGGGTTAATTAATTTTGTGAGTGGCATAATGACAAGATCAAATGCATTTATCTCAAAGCAATTGATTAAAATAGGCAGATAGCAGATAATTATCAGTGCTTTAAGCACTTCTATATGCTTGTAATTTGATGATTTATTTGATTACTTGTGATTGCAGTTGTTGATGCTGGCTAACTATTTGACTACTACTTATGGAATAGTTGGAGCAGAAAATTAATCAATATAATCTTGAGCCCTCAAACATCTACAACTTTAATGAAAAAGAATTCCTCCTAGGCTCCTGCCATGTCTCAAAGTGATTAGTCTCTATTGAAGCCCTATAAGCTGGAAAGAATGCTGCCATTCAGGATGGTAGTTGGGAATTTCTCTCATTGCTCTGCTCAGTCTCTGCTGAAGAAATTGCACTACCTCCAGCTCTTATTTATCAGAATGAATTGTGAGATCTTCAGAATACATGGCTAGATGATTATGATGGAAGTGAATGAGCCTACTTTGCAGCTTCAACAAATAGTTGAAGCAATGATGAATATGGACTGGAGTGGTTGAAATGGGTTTTCAATTAGCATACTAAGAAACAAGCTGGTTGAGGAAGATGTCTGCTTCTACTAGATGACCATTCCTCCCATATAAATATGAAATTTATTGAATATGCTAACTGTAAAAAGATTCTTCTTATGATTCTCCTGCTGCATTCAACTTACTGTTTGTAATCTCTTGATGTTGGAATCTTTGGGCTGCTGGGCAAGGCATATTCCAATGAGCTGGAAGCACTACTATGTCAAGGAATGAGCTATATTTGAATGACAAAAAGAGATTTCTGGAGACTATTCAATGTGACTTGAAAGAAGACTTTGACAGTTGAAAATATACTTGCTGGCTTTGCAAAGACTGGAATTAACTCTCTGGATTCTCAATGTCAACTATACTGATTTGAAACTGCTCAAGCTTCTACACTGCCAGTTAAACCTTCTATTCCTAGCAATATGCATCAGCTCCAACAAGAGATCAAGAGTATATGTCTCTGGCACAGTCTAAATTTGCAGAGTATTGAATGGGTTATCCAAGCCAGTGAGCAGTTTGCTCTTCATAATGAACTGCTGGAACATGAGAATCAGTGGCTAAGATTAACTCTAGTAATGGAGAAGCAATGCTGCAAGTGAGGCAAGCCCCTGGGTCTACTTAATAGGGATAATTCTAGTCAAGTGTAGTTCTGGTCTCCAACAAAAGTTCTTAAGGCATGTGAGTGTCTGGATGAAATAGAGACTGAAAAAGCTGATAAAATTACTTAAATACAAGAGACAAAACTTCAACAAGAGCTTCAAAAGGAGCAGGCTGCTAGAGATGTTGAAAAAAGATGGATTGAATGGGAGGATGCCTGTAAAAAGATCTGGGAGCAATGAGAGGCTGAAAAAATCAAATATGCTAGACAAAGAGAGGCACAATGTGTTGCTTGTAAGAAGAAGAAGACTTTACAACTAGCAGAGAAGAAAAAATGGATGGTTGAACATGCTAATAAATACTGGCAGTCAGGGCTTCAAGTGCCAGCTTCAAAGTGCTGTTGGAAGGACTCCCCTACTAAAGAGTCTCATTGTGGAGAGCCTATACAACCTTCCAAAAGAGAAAGTAAGAGCTCTACAAGCATCTCTAGCAAGGCATTAGACTCCCTAGCTGAGAAATCTACTGTTGACATTTCTTTGAATTCTTTCCTATCTACCCCCCGAATCTCTCACTCTGGCCATAATATTAGGCTGTCCACCTGTTTATTTTCCTAACTATACTAATTTCTATGCTTTAAAGAATACATTTATTTAATATTTAATAGCTATTTAATAATAAAGATCTGGTTGTTGAGATATTTAATAAATTCATTGCGTGGAGCATTTGGTGAAATTTGGCTTGTTTAGTGGTGTGGCTTGTTTAGTGGTGAACTACCTTAGCTTTCTGGCACTTAATTAGAGAGTGAGCAAAATAGCTACTAAATGTATCTAGCAAGCAAATCAAGCATCTGGCAACACCAAAGCCATGGTAAATCATATGAATGAACTGGAGCACTGAACTTCTAATCAGAAGACTTCAATGAATCTCTCTAATGTAATCCGCAAGCGAGCGAAATCCGCAAGCGAGCGAAAGATTTTTTTCAACTTCCTCAACCATCTACTTCAACGCGTCAGAATGCTACTAATTCGCAATAAAAATGCAAGATCCTCTATAGAAATAGAGAGAAGAATTGAACTTGCTATTTCTACTCTTAAAAAGCAAGAAATTAGCTCAATTACTGAAGCTGCACAGCTATTTAATATGTCTTATACTATCTTATATCATCAAGCAAAAGAAAGACATGCACAAATCAGTCTACATGCAAATTCAACTAAATTGACTTAGCCTGAAAAGAATCAGCTAGTTCAATGAATTCTAGACCTAGCTAAACAAGGAATTCCCCCCCAACTAGTATTTGTTAAGAATATGGCCAATCATCTTCTTACAATGTGAGATCCTACCTCTTCTCCCCCCCATGTTAGCTAGAAATGGGTGTCAAATCTGATTAAACACTATAAGAGCTCAAATACTGCTATTCCAGATACTATAATCACAAGCAAGCAAAATATAAGAATAGAAAGATTATTCAGAATTGATTTAAGACTCTGAAAGATATAATTACTAAGTATGAAATTCTAATAAAAGATATCTACAACTTTAATGAGACTGGATTTGCAATAGGCCTCTGCATAACTATCAAGAGTATTACTAGTGCTGAGCACTATAGTCAAGCAAAGCTTCTACAGCCTGAAAATTAAGAATAGGTCACAGTAATTAAATCAGTCAATATCTTAGACTAGATCTTGCCTACATACATCATTCTTAAAGAGTAAAATCTACAGGAAGGCTGGTTTGATAGACTTCCAGCTGGCTGGAGACTTGATATTAGTTCTAATAACTGAACTACAGATGAGATAAAAATCAAATAGCTGACTAGGCTATTTATTTCTACTGCAAATCCACAGAGAGTTAGCACTCATATACTTCTTATTCTGGATAGACACAGCAGTTATCTTACTCCAGAATTTAACTATATCTGCAAGAAGAATAAGATTATTTCTCTATATATATCACCATATTTATTCCATCTCTTGCAGTCTCTTGATGTAAGTGTTTTTGCAGTTTTGAAGCAAATATATGACAGTCTAGTTGAACAGCAAATGCAGCTTAAAATTAATATTATTAAGAAGACAGATTTTCTGAATGTTTATTCTACAGCATATACAGAGATCTTCAAGACTCAAAACATTCAAAATAGCTTTATAGCTACTGGAATAGCCTTATTTGATCCAGATCAGGTTCTTCAGCAGCTGGATATTTAACTCCAAACCTCTACTTTTCCAGCTAGCTAATCTAGCAACTCAGTATTATTCTGAATTTTACAAACATCTCACAACCTCCAGCAATTGCATAGGCAGGTGGATAAGATCAAGAATCTTATAGAGCAGAGGCTTGAGAGCTCACTTCAGAGTTTAGTGGAAGAATTTGATTAAATTATCAGAGCTTGCAAATATAAAATGGTCAACATTACTATTATAAAAAAGTAATATCAGAATATATTTGCTGTAAATGAGGAAGAGAAGCAAAAATGTACAAGATTTAAGCACCAAATTCAATATGAAGAAGATCTAACTAGAGAAGAGATTACTGAGCTTGCCATTCCACCTGCTCAATCTGTTGAACAGTTGATTGCTTAACTTTCTGAGTCTGCAGTCTCAGAGTCTGCAGTCTCAGAGTCTGCATCACATTCACAGATACCACCAAGATGTACAAACTGCTATATTTTAGACCATACAAGAAGAAGCTGCCCCAGTTCTATTGCAATATAATTTAATTTATTTAGGGGTTGTTGAGTGTTAGTATTTTGGGTTAAATTCTAGTTAGTTGAGATGCATTAATTTAATCTTTCGCTCACTTGTGGATTTCACTTGCTTGCAGATTACATTACATTCTAAATCAAGCTTAGATAATCAGATAAACTTAGAGACAACTCACCAGATAATGAGCAGAAGTCTAGAGAGGAGAATGAACTTTAAATATTGCACAGATGATGCTAAATCAACAGAAGATAATGCAAAAACAACAGAAGATAGTGCACCAGCTGATATAGTAAATAATGTAATCCACAACCAAGTGGGACAACCAAGCAAGCGGGACACCAAAATCACCATATAGTGTTGTGT